CAGTTCTCTAAGGGTTAAACAGTTCTTAAAGTCTTCTCTGCTGTGGAAACATCTGGCTGACTCCTTGGTGTTTTAATAATGTTTAAATAACATTATTTAATAGTTTTAAATAATGATTTAAGATGCATCTACCTGGAACAGTATTAATTTCTGACCTGAAGCTGATTTCTGCAGAAACCAGATACAGCTCCATGGAAGGAAGGGTAAGTCAAACTAAAGCCAAACCTGTCACTGTTGTTATTCAGTGGCAAACAGCCAACCTTTCGATCCTAGCCACCCAGGGATTTGGATAAGCCCTAAGCCACCAGCTCTCAGGGGAGATGGCGTCCAAAACAACCCTGAGTCACAGAACTGAGTACACTTAGGACATCCAGACGAATCACTTAGCCTGTTCCACCATAACTGTCTGCCGTCAGTCCAGCCACCTTTGTGTCCAGGTGCAGAGGGCCATACCTGCCTCCCAAAGTGTCTGTGCCTTGATGCCACTGGGGCACCTGTGCTTGTTGCCACCATCTGTCCCCCATCCACTCCCTCCCACCTTGTAAAGGTCAGCTGAGTCTCTGAGCAGCAGCATCCACACCTTAGTTGCATGTTTTCTTGTGTCAAGATCTGTATTGTGTACTTGTACTTTTCTTCAGCTTCAACAAACTTGGCCTGAAGTGATTTCTCTATCTGCGTCCCTGCAATTTTCTGAAAGATAGATACATTTTAAGAACTATCTTTTCCCTAGCGCCCTCTGAGGTGAAGCTATTTGGCAGAACTGCACAGACATCTGGGTATTCTCCTCCCAACCCCCACCCTTACCCTAGTTAAGACTCACCTCTTTCTGTAGTTCCATCTGGGTTTGGTAGAGGGTGGTATTCAGTGTTTCTAGGATAACAGCTTGTGCACGCAGCTCTTCCTCTATGATCTGGGTAAGAGGAAACTGTTTCAGACCATCAAGGCAATGTGTCCATCCACCTACTCTTTTCCAGGGCACCTGGATTAGAATCTAAAGTATCATCACATTTAGCTACCCCTTCCCCAGCACCGTCACAGCAAATTCAGGACTTCCAGATGAATAGCTATGTTCTTTTGCATAAAAACAAACACAGACAAGGGAGAGAGGTCTAGACACAGCCTGCTCCATCAGGAAAATGGAAAAGTTTACCTCTTTGGCCTTTGTCAGTGCTTCTAGTTTCAAGGTGTCACTTTCATGTTGTTTCAAGAACTCCTGAAAAATAATATTATTTGGAAAAGGTGAGCAAGTGCTGGGGAGGAGATCTGGTTGCCTGAGGAGGAGATCTGTTTGCCTGAGGCTGACTATAAGGGTTATAGAATCTCGGCTCTAATACCATTGCATCTTACCTCCAGTGAGCGCTCATGTACCTAAGAGGTCAGATAACTTGTTATATGAGCTTGTTAACATATGCTCAATTATTAATATCCATATTATTGCTGTTAAGTGCTATAGTGACCCAACCCATAGTGACCCTGTATAGGGTTTCCAGGGAGCAGCTGGTGAGTTTGAACCACCAACCTTGAGGTTCAAATGGACCTTGCAGTCGAGTGCTTATCCTACAGTGCCATACCAGGACTTCATTAATATCCATCGTTGTTGTTGTTAGGTGCCATTGAGTCAGCACAGACTCATAGCGACCTTATGCACAGCAGAACAAAACACTGCCCGATCCCTAGGCCAACCTTACTACTGTTGCCACATCCATAGGGATGGTAAAATTTTGGTAGAATTTGGGTTTAGACATGCTTTTATTAGGAACCTAGTTTTGAGATCAGGGTTATAGGAAAATGACTAATGGGTTGCTACCCCTCACTTTTAACTTTTACTTGTTGTTGTTTTTGTGTGCCATGGAGTCAGCTCTGACTCATAGTGACCCTGTACAGGGTTCCTAAGGCTGTAAATCTTTATGGAAGCAGAAAGCCTCATCTTTCTCCCACGGAACAGTTGGTAGTTTCGAACTGGTGACCTGAGGTTAGCAGTCTGATTCATAACCACTACATTACCAGAGCTTCTTATTAATTGTTCCTGTTGTGCTTAGGTGCCATTGAGTTAGTACCGACCCATAGCACCCTATGCACAGCAGAACGAAACACTGCCCGATCCTGGGACAACCTCACTACTGTTGCCATGCTTGAGTCCATCGATGCTGCCACTTGGCGAATCCATCTCGTTAGGGGTCTTCCTCTTTTTCTCTGAACCTCCACCTTACCAAACATGATATCCTTCTCCAGAGACTGGTCCCTCCTGACAATATGTCCCAAGTATGAGAGATGAAGTTTGGCCATCTTGGCCTCCAAGGAGCACAATGGCTGCACTTCTTCCAAAACAGATCTATTGGTTCTTTTGGCAG